TTCAACTAGAAAGAGCATTCATATCATTTTTCTATCACCCAATTTATTACTTACACACTGAAAAATAAAACAGAAATGAATAAAAAAAATGAGATTTTTAACTCTTTGTCACATGTACACTTTCATTCATCTGTGGCTAGATAGTATCAATTGTTGTGGTTTTGGTTTAAATCTGATATAACTCTATGACTCACTTCACCCATTGTAAATAAATTAGCCCCACTTGCTTTTAAAAACAGCAAAATCACTTTTCATAGAAATTTAGATTGCCAGTGACAGACCCTACTCCAGAAGCGGACAAACCTTGAGGTAGCTTACTGGCTACTTACAAAATGTTCTTGATTTCATGAGAGGACAAAATAGCCCCATTTAACCTTTGACAAAAATTACCAACCTCATAAAATAAGTCTGTTCGTAATTATTTCTTCAGTTTAAGGCTACTTAAATAACTTAATATCCTACAAACAAATTTCATCATGCTGAGCAATTAGTTAACACCACTTATTGATACCAATTCTAAAGACTCTCTTAAAGTTAATTAGTATTCATAGCACTTTTTGTTAAGACCATGTCTAATGAATCGGAAAATTAACTAAATATCATTATCAATATTATTAGTAATAACCAAACTGTTTTGTTTAACCATAATTTGATCATAATAACACTTTACATCATAATCATAAGAATCATTAAGAGCGAAGACATATTTTTAGTAATTATTCAAATTTCTCTATTTTAAACCTACATTATGCAAGAGCTAAATCTGTCTATTGCAGGTCTTTCTTTAGGCCTGACATGTTATCTAAATTATTAATTAGACATTAATTAACCTATCCAGACCATAATCAACTCTAGATGGCATGGCTAGCCTGTGATCTTTTGTGGATTATGAGCCGATTTACTGCATAACTTTATTTCCCGATTAAATGGATAATCGACACTATGCTGTTTATCGTAATGACTTTAGTAATGATGATCGAGGCTAGGCAGAAATTTCAATCGCTTAGTTCTCGGTTCATAGTGGATCAATTTGAATGAAATTTTCAGCAAATTGCCTTTACATTATCTAGTTTTTAACAATTACAGTGAGAACTGCCAACTCACTATCAAATCTCCCATAATGTATCTTTAATATTTTAGAATTTTAATGAGTATCAATTCAGTTGTTTAGATATAAACAAAATGCCTAAGGTCAATGTTACTTGATCATAATTGTGTTGGTTCATATGTCACAATAGTTGTATGAAAACAATTATCAGACGTTTATATGTCTTTGTCCAGTAAAACACCCGTAACAATAGGTCCGGGAGGATATAGCTATAAGTCTTTATATTGACCCCTGTAAGAGGATATAGTCCATGACTTCACACCTCATAAGAAAGCAAACGACAGTCGTTCATATTTCACAGGAGTGGATTAAATTCAAGCTGACGCATGATGTCCATGATGGACAACAATAGTTTATATTAAATATATTGTATTTGCATGGGGTCGATCCGCTGATGTCTTCTCTTATCTCTTCTATCAAACGCCTTCAACTGACATGCGACACTGAGCCCCTTACCCGTGGACACACGTCAGTTTAGAGACTTTTTGATGACCCCACGTTTGAACGAGCTACTTTGGCATTAAGACATGCGTCAAAGATTTACTCGTAATTCTAGGGACAATGAAACTTAATTCGGAGTTAAACATTAGAGGTCATGTCTGTCTTTTTAATCCCTTTCGGTCTTTTGCTCCGCTCATTAGGGAACTTCTATTCTGTAACCTTAATTGAACCTCAGCTATTGAAAGGGAACATGGAAAGGAATACAAGAAAATAGAGATCTAGGTTGCTGGCCTGCAGGTTTAAGTCCCCCTTGGGCTACAATGTACATCTGCCTATAAAATTTGAATCCAGCTTGACCACCAAAATTATATTGCAGTTAAATTTAAAATATTTCATGTTAAAATATGTTGTAAATGCATTTGACTGAAAACTGCTATAAAAAAAATTAGATGAATAGATTTAATCAAATAGAGAAAATAAAATTTAGTGAAAATATTCTTTTTTCAAAATTCAACATATGATAAGCAGGCAAAATTATTTTATAACTTTAACCTATCACACTGTTAGCAAAGGTTTTTAACTTTTTAATGCTTTATCCGAGAGTAGTAAATCAATCAACTTTATTATAGAGCAAAAAAACGACCCCCGGGCGTGAAACCTGATTATGAATATAAAAATATTTCTCTAACAATATCATGAATATAAGAACTTGGAAAGTGAATAAAAAATACATCAATTTTTATTATCCCATAGAGTCAATAGTTATATCAAGTATCGCTTTCATTTGTAAATATTTGTACTAGGGTACTCAACATGAGGGTTTTCTCAATAAATGTTCTAAGCCCTGACTATGATGTAAAGAAAGGGAAAACATTAAAGACAACCAAACATTGAAAAAGAGGTACAATTATTACAGGCATTCACCCATAAATTATTCATCACTGCTTTTAGTCACTTTATTAATTAGAACACGAGGTAGGCCTTCAGCTTACAAATTGGGACTCCCTACAAAGTTTTCTCTTTATTCTTGTGTGGTAATTACAACACAGAGATAAAAGAGAAAAACTGAAGAGCTCAAGTGTCCTGTCAACTTAAGTTCACCAAAGGCCAAAATCTCTGGGATTTTGTCATGTGTCAGTACAGGTGGACATTCTCAATTATCAAATTCAAGTCCTTTATTTTAAATCTTTTTAGATCTGGAGAGGACAGGGGAGAAAAGACATGTTTTTAATTTTTGTCATTGGATATTTGACAATAGTTTTACTTTCTTGTTACCAGAGAACAATCTGTGTGACAAATTAAGACTAACAACGAGTGACACTTATTCTAAACCAGTGTTATGACAAGATCCTCATGTAACAAACCCTATCACTGTCAATCAGTCATTTTTAGACATTGAAAACGTCCACAGTATTAGCCTATTAATCACCAGTAGAAATGCTATTCATGTACTTTATTCAGACCGTATTTCTGGCTAACAACAGAGGTTAAGTTGAGGAACAGATGTAAATGGATGTGAAGAGACTTGCAAAGCAAGACCCCATGGACTTTAAAAAAACAATTGCCACCTTAGCCTACAAAACGATGAATTAACCTTGAGGTAGCCAGCTAGGTTTTCCCATTATCACAGAGGGACTTGGACATTTTGTTCTAATAACTTTATCCAGATGTTTTTATTATCATTACAGGAAAAGGATTTTCTTGGATGGACAAGTGGATTAAGGACTTCAAATAGATTGTCAAAACTCATGCCTCATGGCCATTGTGGTGAGTTTTTTGTCCAATTGAGCGTTGTCCTAAGCGCAGATTCTTTGGATTTGTTTCAAAGATAAGCTGTCTTAATATTCTGTCATACACAATGAATAAAAATGTCTTCAACTGGTCTACTAATCCTCACATTTCACAGTTCGCATACCACAATATGCCACAATAAAATACGATGTGCATTATGTGGGGATCAACCACACTAAAAAGCATTGTCCAAGCTAACATTAGGCCAGTCTCTCGAAACCCTTTCTTGAAAAAACAAATGTTCAAAGGTCTATTGTTACTATTAAGTCCTGTGATTATTATATCAGAAAATAATCTTAATAAATGGACTACAATATTCACAATCTATAATTAAGTCGGACAATAAAACCATTGAAAATATTAAAATAACACTTCATACATGAATGAAGTTACGAGCAATAGCTGACAACATTAGATAATCCCATCTACTTCATTTTCTAAAGTGAATCCAGTCGTCTACAACAATAGAAGCTTCATAAACTGGCCCTGCTCAAAATTGGGATGACCAATTGAAGAGGTGAATTTATGGCCAGCTGCCCTATCTCTTCCTGTGTTTTAATCCTTTAAACCATGATGGAACATTTATAACATGAAATCTTTTTTACACCTCAGGTCAAAGTTTCATATTAAACAACAATAAGAAATAAATTTTCATTTTAATTCCTAATCATATGTGGCCTTTGGGGTAAGCCAGGTCACAAAGATTAACCCTTCCTTGAAGAAAAGCTCAATTAGTGGCCAGGCTTGAAACAACATAAAGAAATAGCTTCGGGGCTTGGAACTTGGGTCCCCAGACACGCCTGGCGATTCTGCTGTCCATGATCCGCACTCATCACACAAAAAATCAACAACTTTGGCTGATTGTAATATTCTTAAGTAAAGAGAGGGGATGAATAGTATGGACAGTCTTATTGTTAGGTGTTTATCACTGGCAATGCTCGGACCATTGTTTGGGGTATTATGGCCATCAAACTAGTGTTGAATTACTGTTTTATCTCAGAACTTGGGATGGGACAAGGGGTTAAGTCTGTCCATATGAATTACTGTAACATAATTCCTTTGACAACAAAATTAATGAGAAGGGATAGGCAAAGGAAAGAACCTCGTTTTTAGAGGATTCATTATAATCAAAGTTTTTAATCTACCAGCAAATATTTAATCCTAAACTTTTATCCATCTGTAAGCCAAGCATCTTATTGTTCGTACAGAAATCGGTATTCTAAGACTGTCTTTTAATAACAAGTTTATTATTTTACTATGATATTCTAAGAAACATTACTGTTTATTTTTAAAATTATTATTATATGACAAATCAAATCATAATTAATCAATTGTAAATGATAAATTAAACTAGGGTTTTTCATTTCTATTTTATTTATTTTATCCATCATCTTTTTTGTGAACTGGGAGAAAATTTTTTAGATAACTTAACTATTTAAAACAATTTAATAAAACATAAACACATTTCATGTGTAGAAAAACAACGAAAGAATGGAATGGAGCTAAAAATCTACTCAATACTAAAATAGGTTATTTGATTGTTTTCATTTTTTTTCATTATCGGTGCAATGTGTTGGATGAGAATATAAACCAAAGAAAGAATAACAGGTCTTAATCTATAAAAACAAATTATACAAAAAAGAAGAGATAGATTTCTTACTTTTCTAAATAAGCAGTTGCTGAGAATTTCTTGTGCACAAATGGTCTATCAGTGTGTGTTGGGTAAAAGTCATCTTTCTGTGACATTGGCCTAACATTCGCCTTTTTGACCTGTCAAATGAGACAGAATATAGTATCAGGCTAACATTATCGAAGAAAAAGACACCTTTTACCCTACGATAAACTATTAATAATAAATCCAATTTTTAAAAATTCAACAGTTTTGAAATCCAAGAGCTTTACAAAAGTATTCTTAAAATAATATAAGTAATGAAAAAGAAAAAAATTAAAACCATGACAAGGGAACTGAAAACATTTCAACAAAATGGACGAACAAAACATCAGACAGACACGATCAATACAAAGAAGGGAATAGTAATCATTATTTCACACCCACTGCAGGATAAAACATCAATGATATAAAAAAAATATGATATAAAATAAACTAATCATAGTCCACAAATAATATTAAATGACAAAGAAAACACAACACCACACGAAGATTTTTTTATAACAGGACCATTTGTGGTAATCAGGAAAAGGATTAAGTAAGAAAAAAAAATATTATGAATTCAAGTTAGTGAACCAAGAAATAAAGAAACGGTTTTCTATTCAACCAAAATTAAAATGTATTATTAAGTTCAGAGAAATGGTTCTGAAACTCCAGTATACTATACCAGACAAAATAAGATCAAATGTGTTGTATCATGATCCTAGTCCCTAATTTAGACATTTCAACCTTTTGAACAACTCCATATTTTATTAATATTATTTTCAATTCAATAGCATCTCCACGATTCAATAAAATTTAATATTGGTTTTATTTCTCCAGATGTACAAAATCTTGTTGAATAGCAGCTTGGTGTATAGAAAGGACTTTACTTCAATTCATAACAGTAAGCCTCTATTTTAATTTAATATATGTTATTCCTATTTCTTTCTCAAAGTTACTTTGTTTAAATCGTATTTAAAAAGACAAAAACTGAATGTTTGTCTGGTCTGTGTGTTATGTGAATGATGTATGTGTTTTTTTATATATTGGAGTTTAAATGTTAACTTGTTAAAAGTCAGGTCTCACTATTCAATTTACTTATCCACGAAAAAGTAAACAACTCTCTCTCCATTCATAAAACATTTGATAAAAGATAACATTTTACACCAATTTATTCAACTATACTACCAACATCAATTTAACACATAAAAACCATAGATGTTATTGGGATTATAGGACTTGTAATGAGCATTATGTCAGGGATTGCATAAGGTAACACTTTAAGTGTATGTACCCTGCATACCCCTATTGTAACAATTCACACAGATGCAAGGTGTCTTTAAATTTGGAGCCAAGTCACATGACTTTTTAATTGACTTCCTATTGCTGAATCAAGTTCCAGAAGGGGCAGGTAACTCTAAGGCAGCTAAATTATTGATTTTTTGAAAGAATGTGTGTAGCAGCTTGTTGCTATTCAAGGAATGACATAAGTGATAGTTGGCAGAACTTTCAAAACTTTTCAGAACACATGGCTAAACATACAAGAAAATCAAAACACATTTCTACATACTACTACAAGAATAAAGTAAAACAACATAAACACTAATAAAGATAATAAACATTTTAATAAACAAAAACAAAAGGAAGAGAACATCTATAGAATTTATCATAAATCAAAATAGAAAAATAATGTAAATCTGTCTTAAATAGTATATATCTCTAGGTTATATAATACACAATTGCTTAGAAAATGGTTCAATGTTCCAGAATACTGTAAAGTACCTACATACATTAAGAGTGACAACAATTTGATTTTGATTATAAATTAAGAAAAAAACAAATTAATGTGATTGTTATAACTCTGAACAAGTGGTAAAATATACCCCCACCCCGACCCCCTTCACCTGACTAGACCTTACTCTCCCTGATAATCTAATCATATAGGATTCGATCAAGTGTCTCAGTAATATATTTATATAAACTTTATTCTTGCTCTGTCAATTTTTAATAATTAGACTCGGTAATGATATGATCCTTTTAAATAAAATATACTTTATGGTTAAGTAACAGACAAAAGCCCTCCCAATGCTTTAATATTTACAGCCCATAACTCATATCACAAAAAGTTTCATAGTATGGTAGTTATAACAATTTGTTATACCGTAAATCATGTGTTTCACTAAGGTAACACTAAAAAAATAATTGTTCAGCTAAATGATCTAATTTGCATATACATCTGGGTTGATGTTGCCATACAATAATCACAGTGCTTGACCACATTCACTCTGAAGGATTTTGCAGAAGTGAAGCTGAAGAAGATATAATGTCAACAAAACAACTGATCTGGATCTGACTCTTCAAGGTTTCAAATTATGGATCATTAAATCATAAAAAATATTTATCAATTAAAGGAAATAAAACAAAACATTATCAAAATACAATAATAAAAACATGTAAACAAAACAAAATTATTCTCTCTCAAGAAGCAAGTTATGCAAAAAATTAACATGCAAGAGAGCCATGCATAACAGCAACCAAACTCCTCAAAATTAGGTCAACATCAGATGAACTACTTGGAAAGTTGCTTTTAACCTTGCAAGCATAAAGTTGCTCAGTGTGCTTAGGCTTAGATACATATATATATATATGTATCCCAGAATAGCCATGATGAGACAATTGTAACCTTTATTATGGTAGCAGACATTAGTTAGTTGTATGTAAAGTTGAAACTTGTTAACAACATAAAGTATGCCATCTGAGAAAAGTTTATGCTATTGACTACACTCAGATTAGACATGGACCATGATGGTCTGCAAGACTCTTTCTGAACATTTATGAGCTTTGTGTTGTTATTGGGGTTTGTGTTTCAGAAATGCACAACAAAGCTTCTACTACCTCAGCTTCTGATTCTGCCTGCCTGTCTTGATCTTGGCGGTATTGTCGTTGCCTTTCCTCAAATTCACGCAGACGGCGATTATATTGTTCAATCTGTTCTCTGAGAAGCGTTTGTTCCACCTGAAAATAGAGACCATGCGTTCATTAAAAGCAACATCTGCAGGCAAAAACTTTGGTCCTACAGAATCAAAAGTACATTTTAATTTATGAATTCTGTATAAAGCAAGGTTGTTTTTGTCTCTTGATGACATTTGTGATTAACGGTAGTCATACAGCAGTTTTATCCAGGTGCAGAACATGTGTAGACCCACTGCTCAGATCACAGGGGTTGCATGAGTGCGAGTCATTGTGGACAAAAACAGTTATAAGCACCCTAATTTCAGGAACCAACGTTCACAGGTCTTTTTTTCAATGCTACAGCCTGGCACCTGGGCTTTTTCATGTAATTAAACAAAAAAGCAATGAGCAAATTAGATGTGCAAACTGGAATGATTAAGTATGAAGGTGGGGCAGCTGATTTTTCCAACATGGGGTTCCACAAAGACATAACCCTGGGGTGTGGCACATGAATGAAGGAAAAAAATGAGAAAAATATCATCAGCTGCTATGCTTTCTCAAGCAACAAAGCAATTTTTAATTGGTTTGGTTTTTATAATGAATCTGCAAGCCTTATAGCAAAGGTGCATATGGTTTTGAGCAGGCCACTTGCAATACAGATTACATGATGCCTGTATTAAAGGTGATCAGAGACATGGCAGCTGAGCTATACCAACTTTAGTAGTCAGCTATTGATTTTTTTCTTTGTCTTTTTGTTCCCATTGTTTGGCAAAAGTTTAATTTTCTTGTTTTGGAAAAGCCAACCTATGACTAGGGTGAGAGATGGGGAGGCCAACAACCATCTGACAGGCACTAAGAGCTCACATGTGTTGCTAAGAGTGTGTATCATGTAAAATGTTTGCTGTATCTCCATGCTGCTTCCAAAAACTTCTTTGTTTCCATTGTCTTAAACAGTTTTTGCAAACTAACTTGCCAGATGGGGGATGCCAAGGTCAAAATGCACAAGTAATTGAGAGAGTGAGGTAAGAGGGGTAGTGTGTTACCCATCACCATATACATCCTATGCACACAAGATCCCCTAACCTACTGCCATACACTATATTACATGTTGAAAATGGGCCCCAAAAGTAACATATGGCTTAATTAACAGATTATAGAAGAGCTCACACATGTACCTATAGAAATAGAAGGTTAGATGTGTCCCTCTGATTCCATATAACATTAGAAGCAGGGGAGCAAAGTGGTTACCCAACACATCTGTCAGCCTTATTGCTCACTCTTATTAATCTTGCAATATTAAAATAAAATATTGCATGGCATTAAGGGTGTGAGACAAAAAAATGAACATTAATTCCTAGCTTTCATTGTAGCAACTAATTGTGGCTTTTGGGGGGAGTTAGATTGAAAACTTAGACAGAGTTTTGACACATCAACATGCTTAGAGCACAATACCACCTCTTGGTTCAAATCTGTTACTCTTACAGATATTATTAAAACTTGACAAAACCACTCATTAGCAAACAGCTTTTTGCATAAATATACTCTTTATGTTTGAACTGCTTCCAATCTCTTTCAATTTGGAGGGAAAAATCTGAGGCGGAGAAAAAAAGTAAAACTTTGTGACATGTTGCAAGTCTGTAAAGAATCAAGATGAAACTTTTGTTCAGCTTTTCATACCAAAAGAGCTCATTAATTTTGCCTCAACTTTTTTCAAAACGTCTAATATTCTTCTGAACTGATTTAATTTCTGCAATTATGACGCTCAACATTTTAAACTGTGGCAATTAAAATTTAACTTCATTAGTAATCAGCCATATGCCCTGTGGTTTTTGTAGAGTCTGATTACTACTCTAGCAACTCAAAACTAGGAATAAAATCATTAATCTTATAGTTACTGGCATGAAGTGGTTGAAAATTACTTGACACGAGATAGATAACATCTTTACCTTATGATGTTAAAAAAACTCTAACATATGCCTTCACAAAGCTTCTTCTTAAAAGAAGAATAGAAAAGGGTGAATTCAGTCATTAGCATTGTGAATAAAGTTGACTAAATGCCTCTCCCAGTCTATATGATTTTACGATATAAAGACAATAATGGAACAATTTCCTTAATTCCTTCTAGTGAACGCCTATAACACTCTGATGTTAAGCTATATAACAGAAAGATTGAACTGAAAACCTAGCCATGTTCCCAATCTAAACTAATCAATATTTTTTGCCATATTTACCAAAAACTTGCATGTGGCATTAAAAAATAATTGGACTAGAAAACCATAATTCATTTCAAAGATGAACTTGAAACATGAATATTATAATGTCTTCAACAAAGTGTCAACTTTAATTAGTGTAATACTTCATTTCATGTAAATGTAATTGGCCAACTTATATAATGCTTTAAATTCCTCATTTCAAATTTGATGCCTTTTCCTACTTTTCTTCCTCTAGACACAAAAGATTATAACAAAGGGAAACAAACAGCTTGTTTTTTAGCAGTCCAAAGAACAGAAAAAAGTTTTTATGAGGGTAGTTTTATTTAATTATTTTAGGGGACACCTGCCATATGAACATGGAGATAACTGTGTTTAATCAATTTCTTACCAGAATCGGGTATTTTATAAATTATTTTGACTACAAGTCTTACATTGTACTTTAAACTTAAATTTATATTCTGCAATACCAAAATGGATTTCTTTAAAATGTGTAAAGGAATGCCGCCTGTGACCACAAGCCACATAGTCCTGACTTGCCAAACCTTTCACTTATGACAACATTTACATTTAACCTTTCAATTCAAGCCAAAATTAAAATCATGGTTCCAAGACTAACGGAATAATAATCTGTCATGCCAAGCAACCATTGTTGTTATTTTTTTTCAATCAAGTGAAGTGAACACAAAAGACAAATGAGGGTTTTTAGAGATTCTGATTCTGCACTTATTAAGAATTATGCCCTAGTAGGCCTGTACATTATCAAAAGATGTATACTGTGAGCTACCAAAGTATTTCCTTTATCAATTTTTGTTTTATGTAAAAGCTTATTATACTGAATTAATAATATTTTTCAAACACTGTATGTTTCAAGCATAAAAATATTTCATAACCTTTATGGTTCTTCTTCGTAACATTACAAAGTTTGTGTTACTTAAATCTGTACTTTCCGGAATCTTTTTGTATTAAATAAAGATTTTGTTTCTTTTCAAATGAATTCAAATTTATATCCCCACAACCCTTCCTTTGTGATGTTTTATTATTACAGAATTCAAGGAATGTGAAAATTGTATCTAATTCGTTGTGGGATGGCTTAAAATTTAACATAATTAATATCTTTCATCTAAGATAGTTAAATATCTTTATTATAAAATACAAATCAATTTAACACTTGACACAAGGCTAAAAGTTTTATAACTTTGAGGAATTTATATTTTTTTTAACATACCAGAGTCAGGTTGAACAAATATGTGAGACAAGAAACAAAAGTAATGTTTTTAGTAAATTTGTTTGTGAGTAACTAAGTAAATGGCTTATGTTAATAACTATTCTTAGATATTTAAGTCTGGTTTTCTTGATTTACATATGCAGTGTTAATAAATTGAGGGGCAGTAGACTGGCTAGACAAGTGGTGTATTCAATATTATGTTCTTTCTATAAAAAACAACCCCTAAACAAATGAATTTTTAACAGCCCATAACCAAATGAATTTAAACAGGCTATAAACAAATGAATGTTCATTTGACCTGATTGTTCACAAAATAAAAATCTTGTAGCTGTACAAAAATGTTTCCCTGTCATAAAATATCAACCGAATGACACAAAATTGAATTAATCAATTAATAGTGCCACCATATTTAATAATCGATTCTTTAATAGAATATATCTGTGCTTCTAACTTCTTACAATAGTGAATTTTTTTTTTCCATTCTCCCAATGCCTATAGTGCAACTGGAGAACACCATAGTTAGATATTGTTTTTTAAATATTTGATACACAAATATGGGTCAGGCCTATCTTACCTCAGCTCGTTCTGCATCATACTCTAAACTACCAATACCATCTAACCGATTTAAATCTATCCATCCTCTCCACATAACACATACACCATTCATTATAAACTGGGATTTTAAATGGACCTGAAAAATAAAATTCTTAACATGAGTTTCTAAACCAACATTTAAAAGTGAGTTTTCACAAAATTAAGTTCTCTGATTACATGATCCTGAAGTAAGAATTTTATACTGGTATAAATATTAAATAGCTTTGATCATTTTGGATACATTAATTTCAGTCAATTCAAAGTGGAGATGTGTTCAATAGTCTTCCGCTTACAGCAGTACCAATCTTATTAACATTCTTTAAATATCAATATATCCTTCTTGGACCAAATCGTAACTTAAACCAATTGTTTACATCAATTATTTCTGAACTTCCCGGCATTGGGTAACATCATCTTTGTATTATTAGACATTTTCTTGAAGATATTTTTGTAATCCCCTTGTATAAACTGAGTTTTGTTTTTCACAACAAATATAAAGATTTTTTAAATGTAGTCAAATGCTGTGAGAACGATATTTAAGTACAAACAAATATAACAAGTTAGTGTTAGTCCATCTTAAGAGATTATTGCATTTGAATTATCAAGAAATATAACCAAACACATTCTGGACAATATTGATGAAATCTTTTCGTTTGATCTCAGTATGGATTAAATGCTTCGAGAAAATGTACAGTTATAACTTTAAGAAAAACAGGACCGAAATTTGATTCATTTGTAAAATAAATCTTAACCTATATCAGAAAAATGAAAAAATGTATTAACCATGGACATGATCACTTTCTTGGAGCAATTAGGACTTCACTCAATTATTTGATTATCATAAGCATTGTAGTTTTGAATTCATTACTCAAGTATGTGTGGAACTTGTTTATCATCATTAATTAAATAGGGCTTAAAATTCAGTAGGCCCAATAGTAATACATCTACATGTAGCCTACCCACATAAACTGACATATATAATAGTACAGTTATCTACAGCATTGGAAGTGTCCTAAATATTGAGAATCACTGAATTGAATATCAATACATTTATATTCACCGTATGTCAGTTAGCATTACTCACTAACCAGTTTGTTTTTTGGGGGTTTTTTTTTTTAAGATGACAGTGTAGAATACCACTGCTGTAAATCATAAAATAGTCACATCACAAAACCCAAAACATACAGGCGTATTCTAAATACAAAGCAATTTTAGCGCGAGAAATTATCAAATAGACAGATGTACCGTAACACAGACTCAGCCATTTTGGGTAGGCCCACAAAATATTGAAAAATAGGCTAAAGCATGTTGAACTAGGTTAGAGCAGAAAAGTAAAATCTACCGCGTCATCGTTTGAACTGCAGACAGTGCAGTGTTCCCGGACCCTTGTCGAAAAAATTGGCGTTCAAACCACCGCAACCCAATACAACATAATACAGTTGTAAACTGGGGTCGTTAACGGTATTAACTAAAACCACATCCGGTGACCTCTCGTGTCTACGTTACAATTTTAATTCAGGGTGTGAAACAGTCATGGCGAAACCACTCATCACGAACTTATTCTGACAGCCCTTCCTACTAACCACAAAGCCACGTGACCGTAAAGGTCAGGGTTACAAAAATCCCATTGCGTGGGTGGGTTATTAAATTGATACAAACTTGACATAATAAGTGGGTCAGTCAGATAACTACTGGCCAGTCAAGTTGCCGGTGACGTAACGTCTGTGGTATATGGGGTTAAATAACGGACAATCAACATAGAGGTCAGCGAGTGCTATTGTCCATTAGCTGAACTGAGTGTCGATCAGCGAACTATTTTATAATACAAAATAATGGGGACTTTTAAAATTTTAAACGTTAGCTATATTTATAGTATAACATTTAAACGTTTTTTTAAATGTAAAATATAAACAATTTCATAAAATATTTCTATTCATTGATATATTCAACTTTTCCCCCAAAATATACATCTTTTTTTTAAGCCATCCTAAAACCTACATTCCTAGTAAACAGTATATTCAATTTTCAATTATTTGGCTGATAAACACCATTTTAATAAACGAAATATCTTGCAATGTTTCGCCTTATTTCTAATTTAATAAATTCGAGAGTGTACACGTTACCCCTTTTTTACATTTCTCATTAATTTATCAATAGGATATTTTTTTCTTTCTTTTTAAAAAACAAAAAACAAAAACATTAAACAAATGCTGCGCTGGGATAGAATTTATAATTATTTTTTTTCTACGTATACAAGGACACATGGTGTAACATATACTTTAAGCATTCATTGAATGTCATAATAAAAATCACAATAAACTAAAATGGTGTCGCTGCCTTTGCGATGGACATTTGGTACCCGTAGCATCGTGGTAAAGATGACAAGCTTTTTTTTTCTGTTGACAATGCTATGTACAAATTAAATATGACGCCAGTTTATTAATTTTAATTATATCAAAGTCTAAAAGCATAATTTGTCTTTAATGAAGAAGACTATAGAAAATTAAATTACTGATACGGAAGGAAACTAGCGATTCGCCCCTGTTAATGAATAATGACTTTAACCCTTATTTCAGTAGACCTGAAAGGTCTAGGTTAATTAGTCGATAACGCTCTTTGAAAACCTCAGTCCCATCTGTTGTACGCTGAGCTTTGGTTAGTGATACACGGGTCAGTTTACCGTCCAAGTGCCGATTGTCTCATCTACGGACAGACGATAAAGGATTTCAACACACCGACTCAATAAATTTTTGTAACATTATCGTCTGTTGGTTGTCCGTTAGGTCACTTCCAGGCATAATCAGATGCGAGCGGCTTTCAAATAGATTACAAAATAGTGTGCGGGGTCGGTCCCAAGAGTAAACTGATAATCGCCAAGTAATTATTTGATTTTTTTTTCAGCAATATGTTAAAAGAGGACCAGAAGGTCGAATAAGAAGAGAACACGACTGTCACTAATTGTGAAATGTTTCGTGGGGGTACTTGCAACCGAATCTAGTCTCTAAAGGTGGCTAGATCTTTACCGTAATCATCTAACATGTTACATTATCCGCCATTAACCACATGTTATCACAAAATAAACCAGTATTACCTTACTTTATCTTAATAATGTATCGGATAAATTGAGAAATATTATTAGAATTTGATAAATAAAATTCCCAATCTGTATCTATGCAGTTATTTTTAACAAATGAAACTGACCAACCCCAATCCAAAGCCAAGACACACAAAGAAATATGGTTTTCTGTTACCTAAGGATTGGATTTTGATATTCAGAACTTTTAATACGTTTACGAAGTTTCCATATATTTTTCCAGAATCGAAAAGTCGAAGTTGTGCTTGCACCTGGCCACGTTGAGATCAAAAGGTTTAAAAATTTGACACATTTAAGGAAGAGATTTTAGTGTGAAAATATCCACACCTCAAAATGCAATCACCAACGACTTAGTTGAGATACATTAAAACTATGGAAACTCTTGTCGTCACAGGAGAAAGTGAAAAAAACTCCGATTTGTGTAGAAAGGCGAACAGACTGGGCAAACATGATATTTATGCAATCTTTGTTTTTGTGGTTTTCTGCCCAGGTGTGCTAATGTCTACTATGCACATGGTTTGGTCAGGTAAATATGGAGCTTCTGGCCGTGTTTCCAAAATAAATCTTTTTGTAGAAACAGCTGCATGTCAAATTTACCGGGGAAACATTGCTACACATCTCGATCGTCTCGCCATATTTTAATGAACGTTTTAGTATATAACTCGAAAGCCGTTAAAACCGTCTCAGGCAAATGTCGCCCTCGAATCTTGGTATTTTGAACGGGAAAAAATATCCGTCGTAAACGTCATTCGATAAAAGTCTGTTTACTTGTGGTATGGCGCTGCCAGTAATGTCTGCATAATCAGTTTATTCAACAACGGTGTTCAAATTTGAAGGAAAACCCTCTAACACTTTTATAACCGTTGAAAATATCCTTAAAGTTCAAATTGACACATCAGAATGTAACATTTACCGTTACTCCTTGTTTGTGTGTTTGTCCCACACCCAAAATAATCTTATGATCATATCGTTAGCATTATAATAACGTAGTTTTTCATGGAAATTGTAAAGAACATGACCACTCACTTTGATATTTCAAATTGTATGTGTTTTATTGTGCCTTTGTTGACAATTAGCATAGGCAAGAATTATTAAAATAAATTCATATTTTATAAAAATAACAAAGCAAAATTTGGTTATGGTATTATTTCGAATGACGCATTTAGTGTTCTACTTTTTCGGAGAAAATAGCGGACAGCTAAACTATTATAAGGTTACCCTCAATTTTAAGCACACCACAATTCGGAAATTATTATATCAGGCAAATACTATCGTATGCATAAAAAAGATTAAACACACGCCACATTATCCGGTGTTTTCTTCGGAAGACAACCTCCCTACCAAAACCGGAAAATTAGCGAGTTTAAATCTATAACGTCAAATTGTTCTGCGTGTTATATCGTTGATTCACTGCAGCTACAAAATCTTGCATCTTCTAATAGTACACTATTGGGATCCGGATACGGTAAAAAAAAAACTATAGTTGGCGGGTAAACCTTATGTCATTCTAATAGAGATTATCCGGAAGATTATCCGTAATCCACGTACCACTGTCGACCGACCGCAGGTGCGATATGGACATTCCCGTCTCGGCTCGACGCCAATGGCAACAGCTTAACGAATTTCCCGCCAAGAAAATGAGAGAGAGAGAGAGAGAGAGAGAGAGAGAGAGTTTAACGTCTACTCGACACAGACTAGGCCATTTCGGGACTAACATGGTTTAATTTTGTTTCATTAATTCGCTTGCGCGTAGGGGTCTTTAACAATGGGGGGAAACCGAGGGACCTGGGAAAAAACCCACGAGGTTGGACAGGCAACCCTACTCCTTGTCACGTACAACCGGGGATTCGAAACCACGCCAGTTGACTCAATGACAGGCCTTATGACACAGCACGCACGTGCTACCCCCCCCCCCCCCCACACACACACACATCCTGAATGGCACATATAAGCATAACGTAACCTATCTAATTACCGAAATGCATAAATAATATTGCTCTTAATCATTAAAATAATTTTATATTAGAAGTATCCACTATAAAGTACATGTATTATATCATAGAACTTCTATAAAATTAACATTAATTACACAACAAACTTGACAATGCATGAAACATCTGACCCAACATACTGCAATAAATTTGAGTGTTAGCGTAAATAGCCTTGTTAATCTTTTATACATAAAATGAAGTGCCTTAATTGGTTTCTCTATTGCTTTGTTTCATTTTAAATCTTGCGTATGGGCACCCTATAAAGTTTATCTTTAGGGACCACATCGCCCGTATACACATTTGTCAAAGTCATTCACAGTAATACAATACGTTATTCAAATAGTCATTTGCTATAGTAACTATTACGTTACTTTAATCATTATTAATTTGTGGCTTTCGCGAATGATTCCGATTTACAAACGGAACCAGAAAAAATCAAATCCTGATGCCACGAATCACATCTTAGTATTTTTATTTATCTTAAATCTGAACTTTGGAAAAATAGATTCTTGCGAAAATGTGTATTCAGTAATTTTAAACGCCCCCGCCCCAATTAATTGGCAGTGGTTATAAATATTTTCAAGACTTATCCTACAGAAATGTAATATTCTTCTGTTGGCAATGCAAAAACTGACCCAACAAATACCCTCCCCTTTCCTCCAAGTATTGCAATGGCGGCCTTAAAATACATGCTGATGAAGTATATCTAAGATATAATATCAGTTTTACATCTTCCTTAACTTAATGTTTATAATAAGTTTTCAAAAATTTAATTAATTAAAATTATAATAGAATAAAAGTAAAATGGCCATTAATGTAAATGTGATAAAAATATGATATGTTATACCACCGAAACAAACTTTTAAATCATATACTTGTGGTAACAACTCATTGGTTAAATGCAGAGAAAAACTAAAATAACAAGTTATTTTCTAATTTGGGGTGTTTATATAAACTCTTTTCATACTACTATCAATAAGTCAAGACCTGAAATGGGCATTATACCAGTAATCAAATTGTTCTGTTATGAGTAGAATAATGTGGAACCTTTGGTTTCCAGATCAAAGTCTGCAAATTTTGAATAATATTAATGAAATCAAAATAATTGAGAAAAGGTTAAGAAGAGATCGTAAAAAATGAATCCTATTTTTTCTCTTTTTATAAAAAAAAAATCTTAAATCTTTAGCAAAGATCTGAGCTACAATGTAAAACAGTATGAAAGGCTATGTAATAATATTTAACAATATGCAGATACTATATACAGATATCATTAGCACCCGTAGATTATGTTCATTGGTTCCTGTAAAGGATACTATTGTATATTTCTTAAATAAGGTCAATTATCTATGCTGACTTATAACTACCTACATAAAATTAAATTAAATGCAACTATTCCGATATTAAATAATTTATTACACGCATTAACCCGTTGGTAGTTAATGTAGCATATTTACTACTGAACAATAATTCACATCATCTATCGACCGTAGTAATAAAATGCCCCAGTCTACATATTTATTCCAATTCGATTGATTGAACAACTTGTATAGAGCTTCATTCCAATCACTTCCAAAGGACTATGCCTTTTGCCCAGTGGTAGGATTTATCGTTAAGATCTGCTCGAATGCTGTTGATTTTGTATTAATGATAGAATTCTCTGAATCGGCAGGTCACGTCAATCAGTGACGAGTTTCAGGTGTCAGTCCTTAGGGAAAATTTCACCTAAGATTTGACTTCTGCTCCCTCGATCCAGTCTACGAAAAAAAGGCAAAACCCCATCAACTATCATCAGATAGATAGCCAATCTAATCGCTGTTTACAAAAAAATATCAAATTCAAAATTAATCAATTATAAATAATTCGTTTACAATTGACATGGAGACGGTACTGAACAAAATGTCAGAACAAGTATAGGTAAACGAGACAGGGAGAGAGAAATGGGGTTTAAAGTCCGTTCGACTCAAACTAAGTCATTTCGGGCCTAACATATGGTTACATTTTATTTCATTAATTCGCTTGCGAGTAGGGGCATTTAGCAGTGGGAGGAAACCGAAGGACCCGGAGAAAACCAACGAGGTTGGACAGGAGACCCGATTCCTTGTCACGTACAAGCGTGGAATCGAAACCACGCCACTTAACTCGCTTTAATATTTTGTCAGATTTACTACTTTCTTTGCATTTTTTTCTTTTATAAGAAACTCAACTGAGGTCGTATAAAATGCAAGATCGAATACTAATTCAATAATACAGCATACTCATAAATACGTGCTTTGTAAAATAATTTATAGATTTGATGATTGTGATAGATTCTATAACAGGCAGATAAAAAATATTCACAACAAAATTTGTTAGCCACGAAACAATAATGACCTTGTGGCAACAAATCGTCGCGGTCAAACGCCTCAATCCCGACAACGGTTTATTATCACAGCGGCGATTTTTTAAAAATTAATAGTATTCATGCCTCGTTGGGAAAACATTTTTAGAGTTGTCTCCCATGCAACTCCGATTCTGAGAAACCGGGATGGCATCAATTCAACACAATAAAGACTTTGGACGATATATCGGGTCAGAATAATTAAAATACTACCTTGCTTGGTTCTCTTTCAAAATCTACAAATTCTCTGGTTGGTATTCTATCTTCTGGTTTATCTGACCATGCATTAGAAGAAAAACTTAATTGTAAATTTGTGCCAGTTGCTATAAATGCCTGAAATATTCATTTGTAAACTTAAATATATTTAATGTCAGTTTGAGCAAAAATGAGTAGTGTAGAAATTGGTGTTTTCAAGATTATATTGTTTGTAAACAAAGTCGAAAATGTCTGTAAATAGCTCTCTAATTCGCTGGAAGTCGTTGAAATATTGTGTGGGTAAAGCCTATATACACAAAATATATTTTTTATTTCTCGATTTTAAACCGAGATTTTTATAGAAATATTTAGCCAAAGTTATATAGTTAAGTTGAATTATCACCCAATAATGCATTGTTCGGGTGATATCGAGTGTTTGGTATGCTGCATTACGGGATATTTTTAAACCTACTTTTGAAATGTGACAATGATTACCATTTTCAGTTATTACTTTCGTTTAAGTATGATTATTTAGTTATTAATAAAATCATATTCTTATATCAAATATATTAACACTGTTCGATTTGTCGATAAAGTAAAAATTCGCGACAGAGTTCAGATCTGTGTTTGTGTTTATATATTTGATTTCAAAAGATTATTTTACAATATATTTATTTATAAGTTGTCTATAACATGTAGCACACACACATCGCAACATATGATAAGAAACTATAAAGGTGTAAATGTTTACTAATTCGTTGAAAAGGTTATAATTGGGAAACATATAATCGAGGAGGAAAATAAAGAACATTTCAAAATATAACCAATAGAAAAGAGAAATAGCAATATGTTTTGGAATAAACGAACACACTCACGCCGATTTTTCATCGGAATAACGCCATTTTTTTTATTTTACAAAATGTTTTGGTGATGCGCGATCCCAATTGTTTTACTTCAAACAGCGGAAAATTTAAAATGGAGAAAATTGTTGGGTTTAAAAGATTAACAGCCATAAATAACAAAAAAAATATGCAAAAGGGCATTAATGTGACAGCATGTTTGAGAAAAATATAATACGGCGCACACTTACGGTACATTATACAATACTTTAATTAGAACGAACTTAACTAAAGGTTAAAGATGAGAAAATAGTAAAAGTTGTTATATAAAGATATGTCTTTTCTCATTACGTAAGTTCTTGATACTTTTTTCTCGTGTGATATGATAATCGCGCAATTCTGATAAGACGTTTTAATCTCTCCATCATGCAAACACGAGACAAAACCGCAAGGCGGAGGGGGGGTAAGCGTGATCCATTTAAGTTGATCTATATGTTGTAATATTGCGAAACTGTAATCGCCTGGCATTTCAATATGTATAAAATTAGTAGTTTAAAAAATAATATCAAAGTCTACTATTAAATGTGAAGATGTATAATTTGATAGCGTGGTTGCATTTAGGTCGTTTCACGTTGCCATGATTGGACAGATAGTGCCATACTTTACTATTAATTACGCACTACACAAAAATAAAAACCACAAGACAAACTTGCGGACAAGACAGAGGCATTTTAAATTGCAAGCAATAAACAACAAATGTATATATCAAATCAAGCGAATGTCATGAAACTAGAAAAGAGTCTATACTATACAGCGTATTAAATAAGCGGGGGAAACAATACAATTAAAAATAATGAAATAAACTGCTAACAATGCATGCTTTCTAAACATGTGGAATATTTAAATGATATTAAAATGCTTTACAACTAAAACAGTACTTTGGTGTAAATTTGGACGATCAAGTGTGCTTAACTGAAAATGACCACATCCGTGTCCATTTAAATAAAGCTTATATTTTCACCGTACAAATTCAAGTAAAGAATTAACCAATTTTCTTTCCGGGGAAATCGTATTGGATTCTAACAAGAAATAAAATTTACTCATACATAAGGTAAATCAAATATGATTTCATTGTTCAATTTATCATAATTACAGGAAGTTTTTACTAGTCACATCATTATTCATACGGAAGTGACTCGTGAATTTAATTGCGAAGAAAGTTAAAACTATTTCGTTCGTCTTTGCATAATTTGACACATGGCACCGTCGTAAAACTTGCGGTGACACGATAACCTTACCGAAAGGTTAAATCATTTCGGGGTCGGCTAAGTTACAGTGTGACTTATGTGTTATGCGATATAAGCGGTGATATATTATTACGACAATAAATACGTAGTAATATAACGCACCCTTTTACATGAGTAATTACTTTAGTGAAAGTTTGTACTTGTTGGCATCTCAGTGAAGTGTACTCTAATCGTCAACCGTATATAAAAAAAAGAGTTGTAACTTACTATATCGGCGTGTCCCTCTCGACATTCCGTTTGAAATCTTAACTGTCTTTCATCATGTGGTCTGTCTCTAAATCCTGTATACCTCACCTGTAAGTAAAGTAATCCAATAAGTAAAACACAAAACTAATTCGAAAACTTTTTGATAATACTCCAATAGAGCGCACCAAACGAACGATCAGGCAAATCGTTAGGCCAAAACTTCAAACTTTTTGGGAATACTTCCAAATCTATAACTTCTCACCTCACATTCACGACTAAGTTTTCTAAAAAGTTCATCATTGTCGAATTTCGCCCTCTGATCAGGTACAACCCTGGGCATAGTGGTATAGTTATTCTCCCTAACCTCACAACACAACGTGCTTGCTACAAATGATAACATGTTTCCTCCACTCACTTCATTCATTATCGATACACAACAATAAGCGTGACAGTACCGAAAACATATCTTTCGTCTGATTGGTCAAAACCTTATGACTCGAGAATTTTCCGATTGTTGCCGAAAACACCCGGTACCCATATATGGCTATTTCCGACTCACGGAAGTGCTACGTCACATTCCGTGACTTGTTTTGATTGGACCGGGATTTATTATTCACGTTTATTTCCTTATTTGGCGGATTCCGTCATACAATGCATTATTCATGAATCCATATATGGGTGTTGGTGACCTAGTTACCTGATAAACATAGTGATTTGTGCCACCAGCTGAGCGTTTGTGTAGTATTGTTATAGTATATGTATGTTACGATACGAGCCACGATAGACCGACAGTTATCGATTCGGATTCATTAGTGGAGCATCAAACAAATATACACCTACGTTTTATATATTTAGCCTGTCATGAAAAGTGGCAAGATTGTGGTTAATCGGAAATGCGCCTGGTCATCAAACTATTTCGTAAGGCTTCGGGGGACAGTGTGGCGGTTGTTATTAATATTTTAGTTGTTTGTGCATTTGTTTGTGTATGCGCCAGAATCTCGACAACATGATAAGAGACACTCCCGCGCTCCCATTGTATTAGTGTTTTGTTGTAGGAATCGTGCTATCTGTACATAGTGCGTTCTAGAATAAACGCCATTAGGCAGAATTATATACATATCGAATTATAGGCCTATATACGCAGCTCGTGTTTATGTATGACAGTATGTAATTGGATACATGTCCATTAACGAGTAAATTAAACTGCTACGTGATATTGCTTAACATTGTGAAAACATCCAGTCCAAAAATTGAAACGTATGAGGAAATAAGACATAAATAAGAAAATATTTGTCGCTTTGTTCTCATTCTTGCGCTCTAATTAATTACAAACATTGCATTGCTATTATTTCTTTTGATTAAATCTCCCGTGGATTGCGAAATAAAAAAAACCAGGGTATGGCGTTATCTCGCATTAACTTAGAAAGGAAAATTAAAATCTGAGGCGTAGGAATTACTTAAAGTATAAAATGTAAACAGTAAAAAGTTGCGGAATACATGAAATATTACAGTCAATTATTTGCGATCTAATTATTGAAGCCGTGCTGACTGTCATTTAAATAAAAAGAAAACCAAACAAACAAATAAGATGGAACACTTTACAAAGAATAGCTGCTTAATAACAGCACCGGCTGGTCTGAAAACAAATGGCATGTTATCCTATATCACTTACATAAAACATGCATGTGCATTGCCTTCAGCTATTAATAAACCATATCGTTTAAAATACCATATCATATCTCCTTAATACACGCCAGCCTTCAAATTTAACACTAACAAACTTTAGCTAATTGACGATTAAATTGCCCTTCGGCCTAATACTAATCAAAATGTCATATTTCTTTTATTTTGAAAGTATGCGTCTGTTTTGTAAAGAGTTTGGTGCCGTTTACATGCTTATCGCTAGCACGTGTAAGCGTGTGGTCTCGTACGTGGGGTGTCCGGAGTGGACGGAAGGTCACTTGTTCACCACAATACAGTTGGGGGGATAAACTGTTAACACTAATTTTAACAACAGGGTACAATTGATTAATGGGATGAAATGTTGTCTGGTGTTAAAATCTGTTCCCATATTATTTGAAAAAGAAACGGTCGTTTTAATATAATGATAATAATATTAAATGTGTCGAAACGCAGGCCTATTTATGTTTATGTCTTATTTATTCTGCTTTGAAGATCATAGTTACACGTTATAATGTTTTTCATATTTCCTTTTAGATATGAATTTATTTTCGTCCCAATTGATGTAAATAGTCTACCGCTATCCGGTAGTTTCTTGCTAAAATAACCACCGTATCAAATTGTCTGCGCGCGAATTACTAAATACGTCAAGAAGACAATGACATTACACAGAGGAATATAAAGCTTGAACGAAGCATCATGGAAAAATTCACACGGTCTACATTCATTTAACGGGCAATTTGAATTGACCAAATAAAAACAGATTTCAGTTCACTGTTAAAATTACACGGGACGAGAGGACATTTAAACGACATTCAAAGGTGGTACAATCTTGAACCACCCACCGGTAATAGATAGAACTGAAAAAAATAATTAATTCTTCCTGCAAATATTCCAGACATGATATAATTTATGTTATCGACATACGTAGAATAGGTGGTTCAGATTAAGCACATTACGTTATCTTGCACAACGCGTGTTAGCTCTTCCATTATCATTTTTATAACTCACCATAGGCCAACTGTTAAGAAAATAATGTACTCTAACGGAACTATTTTTCGTAACTGACATGTTTCTATAGGGCACCAGTGATGTCACAAAAAGTGTCAGATCTTTCAATTTATAAATCTAGCGATTTTAGTAAATAAGCCAAATTTTGTTCATTTTGTGTGTCGAAATTATCCGTTAGTCGTTTTTCCACCCTTTACATTTACAATTGACAATAAATTGCAAGTTCTGGTTAATGACCCCATGAACGGAGTCATCTTTGGCATTTTCAAAGATAAGTTTTAGTGAAATGAAATGAAATGAAATGAAATGAATTGAAATGAATTGGAATGAAATGAAATGGGGTTTAACGTCCTACTGTTCTGCTTCGACTGGGCTAATGAAGACGGGCATACGCCATGCAGTGTGCTATGAGGGAAATTTTGCACAGACATCGGCGCTACAACCCACTTTATATCGAATTCCAACTGATTATGGTTCTTTTACGTGCACGTTTTTTCGTCCCTAACGACTAAATAAGTTTTAGTAGACGTTATTGATATCAATGTTTGTTAGAAGATTTAAATTGGTGGACCATTACCATTAATGGTGGACATAGAAAATCTACTCTAGCTTAGTTCACATCCCTGCATAGAAGTGTAAAGAATGCCCTGTCACCAGCCGTGGTGGGTCAGCGAGTAAGGCTCTTACACCCCACTTGTCAGTGATTCAGGGCGAAGGGCTTGTCAAGGACAGCAGTCGTTTGTATGGGACAAAATTCGAGGTCCCGCGTACACGTTGGCGTGCAGATCAAAGAACCCTAGATAGTGGAATGCAACTGCTTTCCGGGCAAAAGTTCCCCCAAAGCACACCGTATACATGTCTTGATTATCCCGGCGTGATATCCGTCTGTCGGCAATACCGAGGGCCTGACAAGGAGCGGCGTCTAGTCGTTCAGAGGGTAAAAAGAAACCGAGGCTCCGCACACATTGATATGCAGGCAAAAGAACCCCCGACAGTTGGAACTAATTCAAAATAAGAGTATAGGCTATAGATCTACCGTCAGAAATAAGTTAAACCGCATTTCATTTCTTTTCGTCATCAGGGTATGTTGGGCAAGACATGTATCACATTAACACGAAAGGTGGAACTGAACCATTCACTTTATCAACGGCAATAATCAATTCTCATTCACTTTATCAGCGGCAATAATCAATTCCCACACATCGCTACGAGGTCTTATATTTTAATATTACGCCGTAACTGCAGTGAAATAGTATCGATTTTATCGCGGTTTAATCTCATACTTTATGCTTTACGTGTGGTTATTTAACAGCGTAAGCTCGGATTTTATTTCCCGAAAGATCGATATTGTTGGAGCTTCTCAATGTGAGATACTGGTTAAAATTAGATCGTGTTTACGTGCACTTTTTATTTTCAGATAAATTAAAACGGGCATAAATAATTTGAATTATTCTCATTTTACCGCTGGCGATAACCCTAATATATATCAGGATTCAGACTAGCAATTATTTGCCCATTGACTTCAATGTTAAATGGCTGTATTACCCAAAACTGCTATGAAATTGCAAATTTGATCCATTTTCTCCAATTCTAGACCAGAAAGTCAACCAAAAAATGCAGGAAGAGGGGAGAAGAAAATTAAGAGAAAAATGTCTATCTATAACTCACACCACATTATGAAATAGGGGGAAATAATTACTAGTTTCTGGGTCCATACTGGGGAAAATGTGCATACTGATGCATAACTCATTCTATACAATTGTCACCTCTACTGCACTTGCTTTGTGAATGGGCTTAATTCTACATTATGAAGGTTCCAGCAAAACTTTGTACATGGTTTTAACAGCACATTGAAATTTAAGCAGTTTGTGTTTAATCGGCCTGGCCTCTGTTCTATAAAATGAAGATACCCTTTGTCTTTGGCAAATAATGTTTAAACCAATCGCAATAGCCGAAGCTAAAGAAGTAACAATGATGTAGCTGGATCGTCCTGTAGTGCAATACCTGACCTCGATTTATTGCCTCGTCAACATCTGTACATCCATTCTTTAACACAGACGCTTGTAACACGGGAGGTTTCTTTAAAAATTTAATGCCTAGGTCCCACTGGGCATTTTTTGCCCCGGGGATGTACGATACCGATCGAAACTGATGAACCTCGAGAGGCGTCGGGAACATCGCCGAAGCACCAGTGAACGTTCGCCGGACCATCGCCGAAGCACCAGTGAACGTTCGCCGGACCATCCCCAATGTCTAATAAGTGCCATTTCCTATGGGACTCCTTTTGGGGCAAAAACATCGGGAGCATTGGGAGCCTTCGGGAGAAATTTTTTTTTATTTCAACATCGCCGATGATTTTTCCCCAGTGGGACCTGTGGCTAAGTATTAACGCTTAAAGTTTGTTGCATTCATATTCATATTAGCGGAATAATCAAATAACATATGTTTAATTTAAACATAGGCGATTTCATTAGCCAGAAGTGCTTTACTTTCTATCAAAAGGTCGTACTAGCGCTTTCTAGAGAAGCTAAAAATAAATATCGTAGTTAAAATGAGCTACTACGGCACCACGGAATTTCTTGTTGTTTTTGCTCAATGTCCACAGGGTTCATAGTTATAGGTCTATACCACGGAATTCGCAATTTTTTTTTATACATTCCAGAGGCGTGCTGGGCGGGTATACGCAGGGTAGGCAACAGCATACCCAGCCCTCATAAATTCTAAAACAAAAGA